TTCGTAAACAGCCATCGGTTTATCTCTGAATGTGAGTACGCGAACGAGTTTCAGCTCATATAAAAATTTGTCGGCAGATTTCCTACGGATTCTTCGACATGCCTCATCAGTTTTACGCGTCCTTAAGTCCACATGTTGAATTATCGAGCGTGTTTTGCTTTCATGATCGAGGTTATCCCCTGCATCGTGCGCAGATGGTCAGCGATTCCGAAAGTGCGCCAGTCTAGTTGAAATTTTCAGATTCATCGGGCAAGAGGAGCGACGAGACAAGGATCGAAGTTGAGAACGAGACGCAAAAATAGCTCCAGAGCATCTTTTCGTTACTCTCTCCGTTTTAGTTCCCTCCGCTTTCGCGGCTGTTTTCCTTTTTTCTTAAGCCGCGGTAGCTTCAGTTTCGTCGGTTCAATTTCTCAGAGTCGCCAACGGAATCACGATCGAGAAAGCCGCGAGAGAAATCTCCGATTAAACGTTTGTCAGGTGAACGCGAACGCGTCCCCACCTGTCTTTTTAATTGTAACTCCGTCACGTCGACTTTTTTCCTCCGAGGACAAATGAAACATTAAAAATACAATTCCGTGGAACGCGAAAGACGAGCCGAGATGAGATTCTCGAGGAAAATACATCGTCACTAGAAAACTGCATCATCTTCGAGACGCAAATGAGATGGTGCAGTTATGATTAATTCATTGAATTATTAATATGCAATTTTCTTCATTTAATTTACATTATTGAACATTACATTCTGTTTCAATATCGTAGCTATGAAAATAAATTCCAAGGATTCTCTTCATAACTTTTTTTTTTTATTACTATTATTATTTTACGAAACTTAAAGAAATTGAAATATCTACAACGTTATAGCAAACAATTACTTGGTCCTTGACGAGTTAACAACAAGTTGACCGTTTGCGAAAGATAGAAGTCAAGTTCAACAATTTCTTGTTTTACAGAGGAATCACAATATTAACTGTTTTATATACATTCGATGGAAAACAATTTTCAACTTCTCATTGAAAGAATTAGTTCTCCAACACATTTCAACCAATACAATACACTGTCCTATACAATTGCTTCGTAATCCGAAACAATTACTTAACATTTGACGTTACTCCAAATATTATGCTTTCGTAATCACGTTTCAGCTACTTGAAACACCCTTTGTTATACAGTGTATATCACGTACACGGTATGTACCACCAAAGGGTCTGAACCATGTTTAAAGCGTACTTTGCACTGCCTTAACTGATGTTCCGCGCCCTTATCTTCTCACGTTTCTGTCAATTCGTTTACTCAGACGTTCGAACGTGCTTAATTTTAAACCCTGGCGTCTGACAACCTTTAACAACATCGTTACGTACCTTCAAACGACTATATTTGTCTAAATTCTCCCCCTTAATCAAATTAAGGGCCGAGATCTTTAGAAAGATTCTTTAGAAAGATGTTAATAAAAAAAAGAAACATCGAAAGATGACAAATTAACGAGGAAGCAAAAATCAAAGGAGATAAAGAAAGGAAATAAAATTAAAAATTAAAAAGAAAATTTCAATGATCGAATTATATAATAACCAATATCATAAAAAGACGATTTAACGAAATGATCAATACGCAAAATAAAAATTGATACGAATAAAAAAAAAAAATTAATACGACGAATAAGCTTGAAGATTCCTCAAATGCAAACGATATTTAAATATTAAAGATATGAACTTTAAAGAATATTTATCACGTAAAAGTACATTACATAAAATGCAATGTCATTACAAAATTACCAGTGCAAGAAATATGACACGATACGTGCGAAATTATAGCGTATAAAGCATTGTAATCAAATTGCAGACTTTTATGCAAACTCATATTTTTAAGAATATGTTGCTAGAAAATTGTCTCGTTATGTTATATTATATTATATTCCGATCTCGTTCAAATTTTAAATTCCAAACAGTTGACGCTTGACTGAGTTTACGATCATGCTCGTACCGAAGAAGCTACCGTGCGACGCGTTTCATCGATTCGTCGGGGCGAAACTGGTTGTCCAGGTGCTCAAAAAGATACGCAACGATCGCTCGATTTGACGCTTTGTCTCGTTGGAACCAGTTGTTACAGCATTACATTGTCGACGACGACCGCGGCGATAGATTAGAATCCCCTGTCCCGAAATACAAATCGAGTTCCGTCAGAGGAATGCAACATTGTACGCGTACGGTTGATCTCTCTAACGACGCGGTGACAGAGATTGAAGAAGAGACCTGGCCAGTGTATTAGCCGGTAGGACAGAGCCGAGTTAAACGACAAATTCTTCGGTCGGATTCGAGCGGAGGAAGCGGTCTGCCAAAACGTTCGGCTCTGGACGCGAGAGTGGAGCATCGTTGCCAAGAACTCGTGACCTCCGAAACCGAATCGCGTCCCTCTCTGCTTCTCTGCTCCTCGGAGGAGCTCGCGCAAAGGGGGCCAGAGGTCCTCTCGATTTTTTTGCAATTTCTTCGATCGACTTTCCCAACTTTCACCCGAAGCTAAGACTTTCCCGTAAATTGACATACGCGTCGAATTTCGCGTAAGAACCGCGAGCCACCAAGGACACGACCTCCAGAGCCAACCATTAACTTTCGGAGGAAAGTACGACGATCCGATAAATCTTCAACAACACGTCGACACACTTTTGGAAGAGTAATATGCCCGGCACGGTTCCTCGCTGCCGAGTCGCACGATCACTCAAATCCTGCCAAGTAACTTCGTTAATGGGAAGTAGCGTCGACAACGACATTCGTGTTGCGGTACAGTTCATCAGCTGTTCGATCGTTAGAACTCGAGAGACTTTGACCTACGACAAAAATTGCGAGGACCATCCAGAACCGCTAAAGAACGCGATAGATTTAGTTTATTTTTAAACCGTTCGAAGGAATCGCCGATTCTCACACCGCGCGCCGTACTCAATTTCCTGTTGACCTATTTATATCGTTCCCAACTGAAGAGAAACGACGCTCTCGTCAAGGTTCTCGGCTCTCGGTTCGATAGCTTCCAACGACACCGGCGAAGTCATCCAAAAGTCGTTCACAAACGACTGAATTGCTCCAGTCTCGCGACTATTTCCCATATTATTGCGTATTCTTTGCACGAAGAATTACACGTGGCCTGTGGAAACAATCTAAACGCACTGTCCGTATTTTTTCAATCGCGTAGAAAGGAGGACGTAGATGCGCGGATAAGAAAAGCACCGGTAAACAGCGCCGCAGAGAAGATGGAAGCTAGGGAATACGCAATAAAGGAAGTGGTTACGGATCAGAAGGGAACTGTAACTTATAGCATCCTCGCAGAAAATTGTATTTGCGCACGTGCGAGTAGAAACCTACTTCTACCGTGTGCTTCACGCTGCATTTCATAGTTCAACCACTGCGCGATGGCGCAGACCTGCCGATAACTCTCCGCGAATTGCGCAACGTCGTTAGATACAAAAGTAGAATAATTTTAGGAATGTTGGAACAAAAAGAAAAAGCCGCTCGTCGTTTCTTGGACGTCATTAGGCTGTTTGAACGACGAAACGTTCGCGCGTAAAAAGTTACCCCGCAAAAAGGATAAATAATCTGTCGCGAGATGTTGTGCATCTGCTTCGTAGAGTGAATGCGAAACGAAACTCGTGTCCAATGCTCCAGGTGCGTAAAAAGTCGACGAACTGCAGCCAGCCCTGGCCAACATAGATACGAGCAGATGATTTTTCATGAATCACGGCTAACGAAGCCTCGGAGGAAGGAAGAGCGTGATTTACGTAAATGTGGCCGTGATTCCGCCTGTGGCCGGTTATGTCACAAGATTCTTGTTCGTGTTTCAAGACGCGAGTGCCACCTCGGATCTTTTACCTCGTGACACACGTTTGGTTGAATCGTCACTTTGGCCTGATATTATATCATTGACGTTGTCACATACGCGGAAACACACGACCTGCGCTTGATTCGCAAAATTAAGTCACGATTCTTTTTCTTCACTTTCAAACCGATTTCTGATTTGAATTTAATCGTTTAATCGCTCGATCGATGAATAACGCATGTGGAAAAAAAAAAAGGAACACAGCGTGCCTTTTAGTTAAATTGCCTTCAGCATTGATTATTGGTTGGTACCATATACGGGAAGCTTTCTATACGGTTAATTGCCATTTTCTCTCCGAGTGGGAACCGTTATCCCAGTGACAATTTATCCAACCATTAACGATGGCGTTATTAATTTACCTTCCGACGGAGGTCTTGAATATTCTCCGTAGTAATTTGCGGGAAAAAAGATAAAAGGAAGAAAGAAAAATATTCGAAAAAGATTCAAGCGTGCAATTGGCGTGGAATTTATTAGCGATGTTTTATCGTTACACGAGCAAACGCGAATTAATTCGCAAAGACGCGATCGTCGAACCGAAACTCCAGCGATTGTTTACAAACGAACTCGAGAAAGACGGAGTTCACCTATACGTGATGGATAGTCGTTAAAACAAAAAAATATCTGATTGCTCGTTACACCAACGAATAATCGCGTGATTACGCATGGAATTAATTCGACGAAAACACGTCGGAATTGCTGCACGTATTCGTATCTAATCTTCGCCGATGTTAATCTTGCCAACAATTGCCGAGATAACGCCGCACGGCACTGCGAAGCAATCGAGTAATATGCCTGATACATAATGTATTTGGAAAAAACGGAGAAAAAGAAAATGAAACGTAGAAAGAGAAAGAAAAAAAGAACTGTTATATCAAAGAGAAAACTTTCGTAATCGCTATGCCTAATTACTATTCGTATCCTAATTGCAAATTCCTCGGTGAGAAACGAACCGAAGATATCGTTCCGAGCAAAATATTCGCGATATAACTACTTTATTACGAAACGCATCCGTGGATCAGTAAAACGCGTCCTCTATCCTGTTGCTCATCTCTACTAATTGTATAGTTTCATGTGTTACTTTGTCATCCTCGAACAATTTCAAATTGTCGGTTAGGCGATATAAGGAAAGAATTTGGTCCTACCTTGAACACTTCCGAGAAGAATCCGGCACCGATCTTCTCCATGTAAAAGTCATCCAATCGATTCAACGAGGCAACCGCATGCCTCAACGCCTGACAGGAAGCACCTGTCCTCCTTTTCGAGCCGGTATCCTGATACGTATCACTAGGACACACTGCGTTCAAGTTGCAGATATTGCTTTCCATTTCGGTGGGTCGCCATGGATCACGGCACTTTTCTCGCTCCCTGTAACTTCGGGACGAAGGCAACTGAAGCTCCGTTGGAAGATCTTGCGGCAAACAGGAAATACAACTCTGCTGTAACGCGTCGCCGTTAGATTTCATCCAGTCTTTCGACGGTGTCGACGTGGTGAAGTCACCTCTGCAATTTCGTTGCTCGTAGCTAGCCGACGAAGTGGAAGTGGCCGAAACTACCAATTCCACGATATCGTTGTCAGTGGTGTACGACTTCGCGGACGACTTCTGGCAGGATTCGTCGGTCGACTGAATCGCAGAGATCGCCGTAAAGTCCATCGACGATTCACCGTGCTCGTCGTTGATTTCCGAGACGGGACGAGTTTTCCCGTTCGACACCGAATGTCTTGTTGCATCGGAAGACCTCGCGGGTTTGCTTGCCGCCAATGGTGCAGTCTGCGCGACACTCCTCTGCGTCTCTCTGGAAATAGATTTTCCTCCGGGCAAATGTTGCTCCTTACCAGCAAGAAATTCGCGGTTAGGGCCTGTGTGCTTCTTCGTCAGTTTCGACGAGTCTCTCGAGCCAAGATCGACGTTCAAACTGCTCAGGCTAGTGGAACAAAGTACCCTTTGCGATTTCGCGGCATTGGCAGACGCGCAGCTCGACGATTTCACGTAACTTGTACAATTAGAGTTCGACGTGCACTTGTGAACGGACGTCGTTTTTGCCGCCAGTCCCGTGTGACTTCTTCCGTGGGCAGAAGTCTCCTTCACCGAGTATTTGGAGCAAGAGTTCTTCGCGACCAGGCACCCGGTCGACTCGATCTTGCCAGGTCTGTTCACCTCGACGAGCGAGATGGACACTTGGGAAAAATTAGGCGCGGAGCTAGATGCTTGCGAGCTGCCGTACAAATCGACACCTCCGGTGTTACCGTCTTTCGGGACTCTTCGAACCTTCGACTTATCGTCTACGGAAGCTAATTCCACCGTCAGCTTATTGTTACACTCCTTCGTGGACCTTCGAGTCTTCTTATCGTCCAAACACTCGGAAGGCGTACACGTTTCCTTGCATTTCCTCGTTTTCGATTTGTCCTCGATCGAGGACATCCCTACATCGGGGACCACGCTGACGTTAGAATTCTCCTTGGATCTCCACGGTTTCGTTTTGTCCTCCGTGAGCGTGGAATACTCGTTTAGAGGACACGATCCGTCCTTTGCTCTCTTCGGTTTCGACTTGTCATCGACGATGCAAGGTGGTTCGAAAATGACAGAACAGGTACAATTCTCTTTCGATCGCCAGATCTTCTGCTTATCCTCCATCCCTATGGAGGGTGCTTCGGAGACCACGGGCATACAGTTGTCCTTCGGCCTCCAAGGTTTCGACTTTTCCTCGGTGAGCGTTGCCGGCGTCTCGTCGACCGAGAAACACGGCAAACACGCGGCTCCACTTGGCCTAACGCACGACTCGACCGACGTCGTTCCATCGTTCGAAGGCGGCCCCGGTGTATTCGACGGTGGTACCTTGCCGAACATTTTCGCCGTTATTGCGAGGAAATTGAACAGCTTGAATCGGGACGGAAGATCGTCGCCTCCGCGTGCTGCATCACACAATTTATCAGTCTTGTCGGTGGACGTGGCGGCGTCTCTTGGTTCAAACAAACGAGATCGTCGATTCTCGATCGGGAAGACTCTCGAGGCGGCGACGAGCTACGTCCTTGAAGTGGTAGCCCGACATCTTAGCATCACATTTAAACTTTGGGTATACTACACTCGCTTTCTCTCTCTCTCTCTCTCTCTTTCTCTCTTTTGGCAGTGGGATTACGCGTTTCGCGGAATCACAGCGGACTAGGACATAGTCCTAACAAGGAACGCAGTGCGGCAACCAGTCAACGTCGATGAACTCGAGAAGCACATGAAACATCCGCAGCGGCGAAACTTGGCACATCTCTCTCTCTCTCTCTCTCTCTCTCTCTCTCTCTTCGAGCGTCCTCGAGCAAACACGGGAAGGAGACTTTGGCTTTTCTGGAAGAAATCTGCGTCCCACAGAACCAGTCAATACAAACGACCTTCGCTCTCGTTTCGTTTCCGCAATTGAAACCACTTCTTTGCCGCGTTTTTTTTTTTTTTTTTGTTTCCCTTGTTGAAAATTCGATTATTAACGATCGATATCGAGCGAAACAGCCAAGTCGAATCGCAGCGAAATTCCGCAGCGAGGCGAATTGTGCATCTGTCAGTTGAACGCTCGAACAGTTTCAATTGCAAAAACCTTGTTATAATAAATGGTAGGAAACGTTGAAGAGCGGTTTATCGGATTAACTCCTCCGCAGCGATTCACCGCACTGACCTAGCTCAAACTCAACGAATGAAACCTACATACATGTACATATATATTTGCTTCCGTAGTATGACCGACACGACGATAATGACCGGCTCCGATGGTTTCGCGAATGCGTCGATTGTCGAAATGACCGACTATTGAAATGATTTCTGTTCGACGATGAACGGCGTTCATATCCGATTGAAAGAATGGACAACGCGCGAAACACGGACAATTTTGGCAGTGCAACGTTTGGATACGCCAGGTTCTCGTGCCGCGGAATACGGACAGATCTGTTGAATAACGCGGACACATGGGTGCAGATTGGCTGAGCATACGCGGTGATACATCGCGCGGCGATTTGATTTACAAAGCAGCGCTACTTCTTCTTCCACCGGTTGCGGTGGATGGCCGTTTTCACACGCGAGAAACGCAATTTACGATCAAAAACAAGAAGTACGTAAAAGATGCAATTATATATATCAGGGGCCAGCTACGTTTAATTGGTGTGTAACGTGTGCAGCACGACGCGGCAGTTCGATGCATTCTTTACACAGGGCGAGAAGTGCTTTCTGCCGAACGTCCAGGCGTCTTGTTCCAGTTTTAGAAACGCCGCATTAAGCGTCCGACTATACCGAAACACACACGCCACGGCTATAAATCTTTCTTTCGTAAATTGATAAATCGAACTAATTACACTTTTACATTTATCGATCTCTTTACGTTCGAATCGCGATCGAAGATAGGCAGGATCGGATACCTTTGACACCTGATTACGAAAACCATGAGGCTTTCACTCGAACGACACGCGAAACGCTTGCTGTAATTCAACGATCTTCAACGTTGGATCGATAGAAAAAAAAAAAAGAAAAAGAAAACACAAAGGTAATAGAAAAATTCGATGCACAGGGCAAAAAACAACAATCAGAGCAACATACCTGCGCGAATGGGAACGATATTTCTCTTCTTCCGTTGTTTCTTTTCTTTCACGGTTTGCGAAGATTCGAGGTTTGAAATTCCTTGGGACAAGTCCTTGAGAGAGACACCAAAACGCGAGCGATAACCGGTAAGAGCGCCCGGTCGACGTTGCTGTCAATGACAACACGCGCGAGACAACATTCGATCGCGAAAGTGGCGTGAAACTCTCCGAGCCTGTTGGCAGCGGTGTGGCGTTGAGTTGATTTTAGAAGACCTTGAACCACGTGAGGGAATTCGGGCTGTGGCGAGGAACAAGACGTTAAATACCGTCGACAAATGCAGAGGAGACGGGGGAAGGCATGACCGAATGGCATCCGCACGCTGTCACTTTTGTTTACTGTCTGAGGGTGAACCTTCGTTCGATGAAATCGCGCGACTCCGAGACGATGCGACGCGATGCCACGATACACGCTCGCATATCGCAGTCACGCGGTCACGATTCGCCGATTCTTCTTGCTGTTAGTTACGATCTCTATTTTCTTTCTTTTTTTTCTTTTCTCCTTTTCAATCTATCACCGTGAACAGTCGGTGGCTCGAGTAAACAGTAGGACACCAGTGCACGTCCGATTTGAATTTTCTCGACGGACCGTCTGTTTCGGAGTCACAGTTGTACATCACTGTACGCACGACGCACGAGCGAACACCGCAACTTTCGTGTCTCGTAGCAAGCCGGGCGCTGGACTTCCCTGAACGATGACGCTGGGCGATTTTTCGTACGCGGGACTGCAAAAGAGACCGATTCACCGACAACGCCAGACAGCGGCCATTACAGAAATGAACTGCTCCGCTGCACGCCGTCTATCGGCGATACCCGACGCGACGTACACCGCTTCCCCCACCATCGTTTCTCTCGATGAATCGAATGTAAAGGCCGCACACGTCTTTCAAACGTGCACGCTCGAAACGCGGAATCTTTTCTCCGTTTCTATATAACACGAACGCTTAAATTCGTGTAATAACACGCAATGTACGAATATTAAGCGGAAAAGATTATAATACAAGCGAAAATGTTCGAAAGATTCGCTTTCTTTAAGAAACGAATGTAGCTAAGAGTAGAGGATGTAAATTTCTCTTTCATAAAGAGAAAAAAGATACCTTTCATTTAATATTTTTTTAAACACTTTTTGAATACTAAAGAAACACGCTTCTCAGTGAAATACCTTGTAAATAACATTTCAGTCGATTTCATATAAAAAGAGTACTAGTATTATAGTTATATGCACTGGTATATATTTCGTATTAGTATATACCAGTACGAAAGTAACAGTGCGTGTATGAGAATAGAGAAATTGTATCACTTGTTCAATGAAAATCTGCGAAACAACGATTTCACAGCACAAAAATAATTTATGAGAATTTCCATTCCAACCTTACTACCACGATCTCATCTCTATGATACCGAACAACCAGTTTTTGCGAGACGGAATGAAAGTGTGAGAATTCTCATATGCATACAAGTGCACCTTTCACTGTCTTTCAACAATTTTCAGTTTCTCATACAGACACTTAAATTTCTACATGCCATTCTATTTGTCTGGGAGACGCAACTTTTGCTTTAATTCATAGTTGGTAAAGTTTAAAATAATCATAATTTTTCTTACCAATTTTTGCAATTTAGATTTTAAATTTTGCTTCTGCACTTGTTCACTTATTCGACGATTTAATAAAATAAATTCTTATTACGAGTCACAAGTTCCCTGTAAGTCCTTAATAAATTAAGATCATTAAAAAATAAGTGTACACAATTTAAAACGAAAAAATGCAATACACATTCGAATTGAAATGAATTAAATAGAAATGTTGCGTGTATACACTGCGTTCGATATGCATCGCATATTTTTACGTTTCTCAAACTGATTCTTAACCTAGCTTTTCGTTGCGAGCACACTTACATATACGTGATATTTCGAAGTATATTTTAATTGTTTAATAACATACTTAGCCTTATTATTATTGTGTGAAATAGTTAAAAAATAGTGTTAAAAATTAAAAGAAATGGCAAAATTTTGCTTGAGTAAGTTTAGTAACGAGACTATTTTAATACAATTTATTTATAATGCATGTAGTAGGTTATGTTTCAAAAATCTCTTTTACAATATTATTATTTGTAATAATAATAATGTTGTTAATTGTCACAGTTAATTATTTTTTTATACTTATTTAATAATTTATTATTAATCAATATATGCATAATGATGTAATAATAATAATAATCGTATTTGTTCCAGAGAAACAGAGCAAGCGTATGCCAGCTCGAAAAAGATATAAAATCGAGAAAAAGGTTCGGGAGCATAATCGAAAATTACGGAAAGAAGCAAAGAAGCATCCTAAAAGTAAATGTTTGCAATTACACGTTCAAAGCGTTATCTACATTTTACGATCATTTTATAAAATATCGATCTTTTTTTTTAATTTTGTAGAAAAGCCAAAAATAATTGAAGTTCCAAATCAGTGTCCTTTTAAGGAAAATATCCTTAAAGAAATAGAACTTATGAAAAAACAACAAGAAGAAGAGAAACAAAAGCAACGTGAAGCTGCACGTCAAAGAAAACGAGAAGAACTTGCCAAAACAAATCTTCAAGGCTTAGTCTCAGCTGCACAGAATAAACAAGCAGAACATCAAGAAATAGAAATGGATGATGAAAAAATAAAAAATGCCTTGTCTAAAGAGGAAAATTCGTTAAAAGCTTATTACAAAGAATTCAGAAAAGTTTTAAATGCAGCTGATGTTATTCTTGAGGTTGTTGATGCCAGAGATCCTTTAGGAACTAGATGTAAAGAGGTACGTTCAAATATGTTAAGTATACATATATATACTTTACCTTAGCTTATATATAAAAGCTAAGCTAAAGTATCAATAACTTGCACATATTACAGGTTGAAGAAGCTGTATTGTCTGCAAAAGAAAATAAAAGATTGGTTATTGTTTTAAATAAGGTAGATTTAATACCTAGAGAAAATTTAGATCAATGGCTAAAATATTTGCGTGGGAGTTTACCAGCTGTGGCATTTAAAGCCTCAACTCAAGACCAAGCTAAAAGATTAGGTAGAAGAAAATTGGGAAAGAAAACTGAAGGCATGATACAAAGTGGTACCTGTTTTGGTGCTGAATTATTAATGTCATTGCTTGCAAATTACTGTAGAAATGTTGGAAATGTCAAAACCAGTATTAGAGTTGGTGTTGTTGGACTTCCAAATGTTGGTAAATCCAGCGTTATCAATTCCTTAAAACGCAGTAAAGCATGCAATGTGGGAAGTACTCCAGGAATAACAAAAACAATGCAGGCAGTGCAATTAGATTCTAAAATAAAATTGTTAGACTCTCCAGGAATAGTTTTTGCTAATTCCAAAGAAAACTCTGATGATTCTTCATTAGCTTTAAAAAATGCAATAAAAATTCAATCCTTAAAAGATCCATATACACCAGCAACTGCTGTTTTAAAAAGAGTTTCCAAATCGCAAATAATGGAAATGTATAATATACCAGAGTTTTCAACGCCTGATGAATTCTTTGCTTTAAAAGCTACCAGAATGGGAAAATTTAGAAAAGGTGGTATACCCGATACGATAGCAGCAGCACGCAGTATTTTGGAAGACTGGAATTCCGGAAAAATAAAGTATTTATAAAATTTATAAAATTTATATTGTATAATTTACTGGATATATAAGAATTTACGTTATTTGAATAGGTATTATACTGTTCCGCCTGAAGAACCAAATTGTCACATTTCTGCAGAAATTGTGAACAAAATTAGTAAAGAATTTGACATTGAAAGTTTTGCTGAACAAGAAAAAATGATGCTCGATAATTTCGAAGAAAAAGTTGCAGAGAAAACTATTGATCCACTATTAATTGAAAGTTCTGATCCAGTCGTATCTGCCATGGAGGTTGAGTTGCAAAAAGAAACAGTAAGTCAACTTGCATACAAGCAGTTTTTCTTGTCATGATAGTTAGATAATTATTAATTATAATAATTTTTATAGCAAATTAAAATACAGAATAAACTAAAGAAAAAATTGGAGAAGTCGAAGAAAAAGGAAGATGAAACGAGGAAAAAGAAAATAGATCCGATTTTTGAAATTGAAGGCAACCAAAAATTAAATAAACTGAATAAACTACAATTTAAAAAAGAAAAGAAAGACCGAATTAAAAGAGGTAAGAATGTCTTGTTTTTTAGAAAATCATTTTATTTCAAATTATATTTTTTTTACTTCATTATCTGAATTTTATAGAAAAAGCAGCTATTAAATTGGCGAGTCAACTCGAGGGATTCAACATCTCAAGATCTGATGATTATGATTTTAGTACAGATTTTGTAGAAAAGCAGACATTGTAATCATGTTTATTTAATATTTGTATGCAAAATGTAAATAATAAATAAACTATAACAATAAAAATGAATGTTTTTATAAAAATGATTTTATTTCCCAACATTTAATAGCAAAAAAAAATTTTGATAAATGCTTAACACAAACGTAAAAATCAAATGACAAAGAAAAAATTTATTCAATTCATTTCTAATAATTCACTTTGTAATGACCTCGGAGAAGAATTAGCTCTCTGCAAAAGAGTGATACTGAATGATACTGAATAAAGACTGCTATACTAAATAACAACAAGGATTATGTTTTTTATGTCTTTTACTTTGTTAAACATAGAAATATTAAATATAGAAATATTCTGACAACATACTTCAACTTATTAATGCAAATCAATTGCATATTTTAAATTATTTATTGTAAGTTATAACTTATGAAGTACATGCAACCTTATAATCTAAATTATTTATACTAACTCGCGTTGCAATAAGTATGTAATAAAGAGATTACAGCAAGATTACCAAATAAAAATATTACTGCCGTTTCGACAGCAGTAGAGCGATGCTAACAGCAGAGTGACAATCAACATATATGATAGCAGATAACTATCACGCTACACATTTCATTGGTCATTCAGCTAAAAGACTTCAACGAAGTAACAGTAACTATAACAAGTGACATTTAATAGTTGTATTTTACGCGTTTTTCTTGAGTTTATTTTATTTTCGGTATAACAAACATAATGGATAAGAAAGAAAAGTGTGAACCGCCAATTAAATATCCGATAAAGCCACCAGGTCCACCGAAAGTGTGGAGTATCGTTGAGATTAAATTAAAAAATGCGGAAGCACCGATAAGATTTACCATTCAAGAGATACCGGAGGACAGATACGAAGAGGCTGTTGAACACATGTGCAAGTATTTCATTGCCGATGAACCTATGTGTAAATGTATGAGTAAGTTTCTTCAATTTTTTTTATCTAATATAAGAAAAAAATGGAAAACGGCTAGACAGAGAAAGATTATGAACAACATTACACGTGAACATTACACGTGAACATTATGAAATACATTACGCGCAAAAATATTACACTGCTATTTATGAATGTGACGCAGCAAAGAATGGTCACATAATGATAATATTTTTGTTTACTTATGCATTCAGCAAGGCTTCTTAAAAATTTCAGAAAGAAAATGTTCATAAGACGAAGAATTGAAAAATGATTAGAACATGAACAATATGAATATTTTCAATTTATAAAATAATACTTAATAAATATTTAATAATTTATAAGATAATGTTAAATAATAATTTAGTTTATAAGATTTCAATCTATTCATGTCATTTACTAAAATATACGGAACGATTTGCAATCCGTAAAAACAACTTGCAATCAGCTATATGTAAAACTTTTTCGTCCTGTTGTCTTTCTTTCCTTGTTTTATCACGATTTCTTGATTTCCCCGCCGTTTTAGCTCTTTTATAGTTGATTATATTTATAGTTGATATAGTTTATTTTTTTTTTATGATACGTAAACAATCTATGTGGACAAAAGTAATAATATCGAAATGTGACGTGTGTATTCGTTTTTGTAGATGGAATAAATGATCCTGAATATGTGAGATGTTTTGAGAAGATTTGGCGTGAATTAATAAATCATGGTTTGTCCATCGTAGCGTTTACGGAGGATCCAAATGGCGGGAAACCTATAATGGCAGGACTTAACGTACTTACTTTGTCTTTCAAAGATGAGAAGTTCAATTTGGACGACATGAAGGTAATTTTTATTTATTTCTTGCAATTTATATAACTGCAAGTAACAGTAATATTTTTCATAGCGTAAATTTAAAATGTATTCTAGTCAAAGAAGGGACGAATTGTATTCGAGGCTGTGTTAGATTTGAACAAAGAAGTAAATGTGTTTGAAAAATATGGGATAGATAAATACATGACCGCTTTTGGCCTTTCGGTTCACCCTTCATATCGAGGAGCTGCTCTAGGTAGTCATCTTCTTAATGCCAGGTAGAATAATTTAACTATCCTCTTCAATCATTTCCAATACTTTTCGTAGTATATTTTCTCGCACACTGTTTTTGATACAAAGTATTTCTAAATTCTTTTATATTTTATTTATAAAATTCAAATTTTTGTTCAGAGTGAACATAGGTCGCGAGTACAACATTCCAGTAACAATCACAGCATTTACTTCGCCGATCTCACAAAAGTTGGCCGAACGATGTGGCTTTGAAACCCTGATCGAAAAAAACTACGACGAATACGTGGATGAAAAGGGAAACTTACAATTTCCAGGAATCACAGCGAAATCCGTGAAATTAATGGGCAAGAGACTCCTTTAATACAAACGACATGTTGTGAATTGTAATAGAAATACGTAATAGTAGCTCAATATTTCTTGTGTTAGTCAAAAAAAGTAGAAGAATATCATAGCGGATACTTATCACGACGCGAAACATGGTGTAAAATATGAGTAACGAATATCATCCATTTCCGGACGTACGAAGGGGAACAAGACGAGTAAATTATCTGACTCATATAGAACAAACGATCTCAATTTGCGTCGACAGGAAATTTTATTCTGTCATTTGCTACTTGTTGAGTGTAAAAACGAACACAATTTTCTGCAACTGCGTTCAGGTAAATTGAGTAAACTCGTAAGAAATACAAAGAAACGACTAGAATTTGTCGATTAAAAATTTTCAAATATTAACGTGAAACTAATAAAAAATACACATTAACAAACTCTCTTTGGCAAACGGTGTACAATGATAAAAAAATCCTTTTGTTCGAGACACGTTGCCTTCACTAGATGCGACCGAATTTTAATAATTCCGCGAGGTGCATCCGTGTCTAATTGTTTTATCATCCTTATACGCTGAAATACAAGAGGACACACTTCTTCCGGTTCTGATAATCAGAGTGATCATTCGAGCATATTACGATATTTGAAAGATAATTGCTTCGAATAACAAACGACAAAGTGAGGCCACGATTATTTAATTTGATATATGCTTATTAACTCCGATGCTTAACCTTCGTCGTGATGATTAGCGAAAACCGATCAGAATCTAAAATATAAAATGACATAACGCTAAAATAAATTTACGTTCCCTCCTATACAAATTACTAATAAATTGTCATTTTTCAGTCTGATTATCTCCTTGCTTTCTTTACTCATTTTACACTTTGAATACGTCTATCACGATGCATCTCTCTCACCCACGTTCTTTTTGCTTGCCGACCTTTTGTTATTTTGTTATTTATACTAATTTGTGTAAAGCACAAGGGATGATAATCTTGATAAATGGATATTTGTAACATGAGGATAAAGGACACCGGTTTTCTAATGTTACGAATATCAGGTTTCATTAAACTGTGCTCGATCAATATGTGTCATCGATAAATTCCCTTTTGATGAAAAAGATGAAAGCGGATAGTTGCTCAATCTTGTACACGCGTGTTTCAGGTACATTAACAACTATCGAACAAGCGTCAAAACACTTTTTCTTCTGCTACAAAAATAAAAAATTTAAAAAAATTTTTGAGAATACGCGCGGCGTATTCGAATATCCTTCGTTCCGGCAGGACCCTCGTCGCGCATGCGTACGCTAACCGCAAACTCCTACACGCATACAGCATCGTCTGCTGAAGATGTAAAGTACGAAGTACGAGCGTAGAGTCGCCGCGAATTTGTCGGCCGTCTCAGTCGCGTTCGGCGCGTCGTACGAGCAAGTGTGTTTTCGTTCGTTTTCACTCCGCTCCCTCCGTAATCCTCAGTTTTTTAATTTTCTTTCTCAGTCCAACCCCTCAACCCCAATCCTTCTCGTCGAAACTTTGTCCCGCGATCTTTCTATAGTAATCGGACGAGACGGCAGTCCGTAAAACAGCATAATCGAAAGGACAATCGAAAATGTATCACATTTGAAAAACGGACATAAGGATATTCTAGTCGAAGGTGAAAAAGCCACCGCTTGTTTTTTCTTTTCTTTTTCTTTTTTTTTTTAAAGATCGTATGAAGTCGTTAGTAGAAAAAGATTGGTAGCGCAAAAAAATGTCACGTGTTTCCTGCGACAATAAAGACGAATTTGTTGCATCCATGTTGGGATTGAAAAATTACATTCATCCAATTGACATATCTTCTGCGAATCTTCCAAGGAGGCAATACGAAGTCACATTTGGATTAAATCAAATTAATGGCGAGATACGACCAACTTTCATTCAAAGATATTAAGTTGAAACAAGACCTGCTTTCGATCAGAGTAATCTTGGAAACAGTGTCGACGCGAATCAATCTTCTCCGCGAGGATCATTCCTACGTTTTGCTTTCAGCGAGAGACAACCGTGTGTTCGAAACGGTGTATGATACACAGTCGAAAGGTAACGTTGAGAATATTCCTTTTGCAATACCGACCCGATTGACAAGCACAAAACTAAAAGAACGTAACCTGTTGCGGAACGGATTGCCAACGCGCCGACGTTCCTTGCAAGTATGACACTGTGCATTTCGGTTTATTAAGCGTGAACGTTGAGACAGTTTTTTCTTTAAGCTGTTCGAAGAAAAAGGAGACAATTGAAAAGTAATTTGATTACAAAGAAACATGTTCGTTGAAATTGAACGAGCAGCAACAATGCCATTTTAATTCAGGATTTAAGAGAGAAATTATTTCATTCGTAAAGTTTTATTTAAAGCCGGTTTTTTACATCTCTTTGGAACGAGAACCTCGTATGCAGAGTGAAATGGAGGTTTGTTTTAACGCGACATTAAGTGCTCCGCCGTTCCACGGTGTCGGTTTTCAAAAGAAAAAAAAAAAAAGCAACCATTTTATTCCGCCACGATAGAAATTCTGCCGTCAAATCTAACTAAAAATGTGGCACTGTTTAAAAAAATCCATCCAATATTCAATAGGTACTGAATTCCGTAATAATTAAAAGTGATTGATAGGGCACTAATTCATCGAAGGCAATATCAAATTGTTCTTTCAAATCCGAATTGAAGTCATGAAAAAAGTACGGGAAAATTCGTAGAACAAAAAACTGAAAGATAGAAAGAAATTCCGCTGGCGTGTTTTACTCCCACTGATCGTTAGCGATTTGATATGTTTTTTCCTGTCGATAAAATTTCGGAAATGCAGTTCCTTAACCTAATGAAGGATAAGTAAAATTTTATTAAAAAGATAGAATTGTTACAATGCAACTTTATCGGAATAAAATATTCGCATCAGTATCGTGCAATCGGATCTTTTTTTAATGCCTCTGCAGCAATTTCTATTTGTTTTGGCGGGATTACCTATGTATCAAATACATCGATCTTCGTAATCGCGTGATTATTTTTATTGGAAATCAGCCCTCGAAAATCAAATCTGCGAGATATCTAAATCGCAAGGTTTGTTAAACTTGAAACTTAGAAAATTGTCCGGCTCGTTTCTTGAAAAACTCGTTCGAAAATTCAAAAATATTTTTATACTTATAAGATAGATATAGCTGTCAAAGAAGAAAATGAACAACGTTATTTTTCTATTGAACACAAATATAATTATACAGACGGAATGTTCGCGACACAATCACAATACAAAAATTTTTGTTTCTACTGCCCATTATACAGCGAAACGCTTCACTTTTTCATGACATTTCATGATTTTTTTCATTGTGTGCTTACTTCTGACTAGAACGTGATGCATAATAAAAAAATTTTAATTAATCACGTTTCGTTTCTTTTTTTTCGTTACAATAAATTATTTTTTCCAAAGTTTTTTAATTAATGACGTTTATACCGAGGAACAAATACACAGACACGTTATACGCTTTAATGAAATATTAAGACTACTTCGATAGAATTTTTATATTTTTGTTGATTGAATTTTGCAGTGTCAATCGCGCACAGTATAACATGTTAAAAGTTAGAGAGAGGAACATTTATAGTTTGAACTATCTCTAAGATAAGAGATTCCGAATAAAAGGTGCTAATACAAATATTATCAGAGGCACGTGTATCTACTTCAACGTGACTTGTATATTTCGAGAATATGGTGAATAAAGGACGAGCACATTTCTTGATTAATACGAACTGTGACCATTCTCTCTTCCTTTGTCCAATTTTCTAGATATACATATATTCAGAACAGACAGAATATGATTTTATTAGTATAAAAAGGAAAGAGAATTCTTTATTCTAAAATTAATTAAGGTAAATTAGAGTAAAATTAATTAAATCTATTTCTACCGATACATATTCTTCTATCGCGATATCCTTTTCATAATAAATATCGCTCTTTATGAAGCTAATTCTTTTATAAACTTATGGAAGACGAGATTGATTGATCGTGAAATTACAGTATTAAATTAAAAAAACTGAAATTTTTTTACACTCGAACACGATCAAACAGAACAGGGTTACTCGGATTTTTCCATCGATCGACTTCTAATTCTATTGTTTCTTCGTCCAATTCTACGAACAATTCACGACCATTTTGCCCGTGACCGATCGCTCCTGAAACATTGTGGGAAGGTTGCTCGAGACATAACTGGCATAACGAGATGCTTCCACGTAAGAAGAAAACGTTACTTCTGACAGAACGGGTTCTTCTTCCGCGTATTCTGATTTTTAAGGATCACATTTGCAACCGGTTGCGTTGCCACTCTTCACTGTGATTTACGATCTCAGCATGGAGATTTCGTTCACAATTCAAACGAATTTCTTAAACTTTTCATCTTCGTTTCAGACAGCAACGAAATCAATTTCTAAAGGAGCAGAGAACTTTGATCTTTTAATTAATACCATTTAATTAATACGTATAATTAATACGTCGTTCCTCTGAAGAAACGACATATTTCCACACAATGCTTTCAATAGAATTTCCACGACTTGGACGCGCGGAATTGTATTTCATCATTTGCATTTGCAATGCCGAGTTGGCGAATGCCCTTCTACTATGAATTTTCCCACGAGTTTTTACTCGCTTTCATCTACGAATTATTGTTTAACCAAATTTTATTACAGTAATGAAATAAAGCGTTTTGCTATATCTCGAGTTTCCGTTTTCTACGTATATATTTGATTTGTCGATTTTGGTGCAACGATATTCACCTTGCAGTTCCCGCGATGCGGGCAGAGCTCATACACGTTCCATTTTCTCCTATTTCCCGGGAGAATTTTTTACGGTCGTGCCGAAAATTGTTGTCGAAGAAATCGATACAATCCCAATCGTTACTGTCCATATTTACTTTACTTTCTGTCCAGCGGTTGTGGAAACAAGCTCCCACGATCGAAGAGGATGGCTGAAATCACCGAAACGAGAATCTTTCTTCTTAATCGGGCCGGAAAATTGCACCGCCCCTTTCCGAATAAACGAATGCAAAATACCGAGCGAGCGAAATTGTTCCGGTGTCAGATCGTGAATCACATCGAATCCCTTTGACCTTGTCCCGAAAAGAGTTCCCTTTGAATCATCCCTTTCGTTATTTGTGCAGATATATTCAGTTGGGCGGCTTTGTCTGAAGAAGAATGTGCGTGGATCGCGTGGTGTTATAATCGAAAATCCAGACAGTAAGACGGGAAATTGCTGGAACTGAATTAAGAGGGAAATCAGCCGGCAACGAGATGAAATCATCAGACGCTTAGCCGGAGAGATCGCGATCGGCTGGTAGCCATGAATATTTCGTGGCGGCTTCATCGAGTAGAAACTTGAATCGCGGATTAAGACCGCGGTGAAACGACCAACAGAACGATCGGCGAGCGACATGTCCGAGAAAGAAACCAGAGAACGAACCGATCGTAATCAAACGTTCGAGATAGACGGACTGTTTCGGTGGAATCGTACGGGCGAGCTGCTGGAATTCTTCAACATCACTCTACTCGATGTTAACGCGACCGATGAGATCGACTCATTCTACTTCTACGAGGTGAGCTAAAAAAAAGAAATAAAAATAAAAAAAAAAAACCACCGTCGCCCCTATAAATACGTGCTCCTGTCGAAGAGATTTAAAACATCTTGTCTCGTATTAAAACACCGAGACGGCTAATAATTTCGACTGAAATTTTCTTCATGGAAAAACATGGATTTTAAACGCTGATTCCTCGTTCTCGGCTCGATCGCTGAATCGGAGATCTGGTATGTACACTCTCGCACAAAAGTGACACTCTTGAGACACTTTTTATTTTTAATAGCCGGTATTTTTGTCGTAGATATATAACGTTTTTCACGCATATTTTATAATTAGACTGCGAATTTTTATACAAAGTCGTATTATATTTATATTTATATTTCTAGAAAATATAGTTAAAGAAACTTGCAGACTTGCATAGAAAATTGTTTTATATATCAAACGTTATAAAGAGCATTACACTTTGAATATTTTATATAATTGTTCATATTACATATATATTCTGTGCAATTTTATATCTTTGCATTTCCTACAAAAACATAAAAATTCGCAGTCTATTAGTAATACTCTATTTCTGACTAAAAGTTTTCGAAAATTATTCGGAAGTATTACTTAAATAGTATTGAAATAAAAATTGGTGATTTCAATACGTATGTTATTTTACAATTTTTGACGTATTAACGCTTCACAGAATCTTTTTATATCTTATTATTCAATTTTACTAATTTTGGAACAAATATTAGTACTTGTCCTAAAACTTTCGAGCAGAAGTGTACAGATATAATTGATCCAAGCTGTGAATGATCCAGTGGTAAATGAACAAAAGCTAAATTGTATTTGCAGTATGTTAAAAGCACGTGCTAACTATTTATCTGAACCGAATATACTCCCGTGACCAAAGTGATTTAATTTTGACTACATCCACTTAGACCATCGGAGAATCATGATCAACACTACTCTGATAAACTATTGAGTATAGTGTCTATCGAACCAACAGTTGCCCAGTTTCTCATTATCTAAATAGAAAATGTATCAGACTATTGCAACCATTGGTTATTAGCTAATCAAGCAAAT